GAATGTGCTATTTAACAATATCCTTTATCAAGTTATTATTCAAGACAAGTAGACAGTCAGTAATAAAATAAACATCAAAGGAACAATACGCCAATAGAACAAAAAAAAGATACAAACGTTTTTGTTTTTTTGACATGCCTAACAGCAGTATGAAAGACCTATTCAAGTAAACATTCAAAAATTGGAAAAAGTGAGAACATCATCCAAAAATAATGCTAATTAAAATAGCTTCAGTTACTGGCTTCACTGCATAATTCTGTTCATGTTCAATGGTAGAGGCTTTTAATAAAGCTACTAAAGTTATCCAGCCAAAGCAGTGAGTTATGTGCCAAAGTTTAACATGTTTAGGGGTTTGTTCTCTAATCATAAGTATGAGCACTGAGCAGTACTAATATGTTCACTTCAAATATGAGCAGTAATAATAAAGACGCTTGTCTTAGCAATCACAATTAAAAATTAAAGCTGCAAGCAGCATTTAGCGGTGTTCAAGCAGTTAAGGCCTTTAAGGCCGTTAAGCACATAAGCATTTAATACATTAATTTTATTTAGCATACATTTAACCACTGACATAATAGATGGAAAACACCATTTACAGCCAATACAGGCAATTTACCATAGGAAATGTATGGTTTTAAAGCTTTTTAACAGTTATAGCGCCACCTATGGTCCGATCTCCATGAAACTCTGCATGCTTCTTCACCATGTTATGACACATGTGCTCATCAATTTTTGTCATCAGTTTTTATTTATGATTTATAGGCTTTTGAGTGTATTTTGACACGCCCCCTTTTCTAAATGACCCTGTTACAGTGAACCAAAGGGAAAAGTTCAACTTTTTTTTGATAATTATTGATCTAGAGAGTCCAGAGAATTGTCCTAGACTGGTCTGGTTCCGATCAGGCAAAAAAACAGGGACTAGTTCGCAAAAGTAGGTTTTGGACAAAATTGGCCATAACAATTTTTTTTTGCTCCAATCGAGAATCCGAGATATACATCTTGTCCGTCTTGAGCCAAGGAACACAGTGGTGTACAAATCTTGATTCTAGGTCAAACGGTCGAGGAGTTATGGGCAATTTAGTACTTTTGGTTGCTGTAGCGCCACCTATGGGCCAATCGGGGTCATACTCTGATAGGTTCTCCCCAAACTGAGGCCCTTCCACCTGGCCAGGTTTCAAGTCTCTAGGCCTTACGGTTTGGGCTGCACGATGCGTTTTAGGTTTTTTTTTTTCAAATAGCAATTACAATAGGTTTTCAGCACTTTGTGCTTGAACACCTAATAATAGGGGACCTTTTTGACAGTTATAGCGCCACCTATGGTCCGATCTCCATGAAACTTTGCATGCTTCTTCACCATGTTATGACACATGTGCTCATCAATTTTTGTCAAGTTCTGAGTTTTTATTTATGATTTATAGGCTTTTGAGTGTATTTTGACACGCCCCTTTTCCTAAATGACCCTGTTACAGTGAACCAAAGGACAAAGTTCAACTTTTTTTCGATAATTACTGATCTAGAGAGTCCAGAGAATTGTCCTAGACTGGTCTGGTTCCGATCAGGCAAAAAACCAGGGACTAGTTTGCAAAAGTAGGTTTTGGACAAAATTGGCCATAACAAATTTTTTTTTTTGCTCCAATCGAGAATCCGAGATATACATCTTGTCCGTCTTGAGCCAAGGAACACAGTGGTGTGCAAGGTCAAACGGTCGAGGAGTTATGGGCAATTTAGTACTTTTGGTTGCTGTAGCGCCACCTATGGGCTAATCGGGGTCATACTCTGATAGGTTCTCCACAAGCTGAGGCCCTACCACCTGGCCAGGTTTCAAGTCTCTAGGCCTTACGGTTTGGGCTGCACGATGCGTTTTAGTTTTTTTTTTTTTTCAAATAGCAATTACAATAGGTTTTCAGCACTTTGTGCTTGAACACCTAATGAAATGAGAAGAAATACATACAGTGCTACTTTACTATTTAACTGTCCATTGTGGGCATACAGTTGGATGGGTCTTTGTTTATTTTAGTCTTTAATGTGAATGCTAATAATACACAGGCAGACAGACGATCAGAGGTGTGAGCTCAGGGTCAGTCCATTAACAGACGGGGTTTAACAGAAGCTGGAGCTTCTCCTGAACATTAATTCCAGTAAAACTGACTCACTCTCACCATTAGTGAATGTCTACCATAAATGATTTCTTGTTTTGTTTTGTTTTAACATTTATCAGTGTTACCCAGGCACATCGACACAAACACTGACATAGCACAGTATATATATATATATACGTATATATATATAAAAAATAAAATTCAAGTTTAAAATCAATATAATATCTAATTATATTGACATGTTAACATGTCATTTGTTAACATGTCATCAAGTATTCAAACCTCTGTCTGTTATACAAAATCATCCATGGTCTGTCATCTCCTCCACTCAGTCAGTTTGTAAACATCAGGAACACCACACAGAGAGTAATGCGAGGATCGGCCCGAGGAGACTGTTGTTCCTCTGCGGAAAAGTGCATTTGGTCAGAGTCACTTTCAGTCACAGCAGCACAGGAGTGGAACTCTGTCCCTCAGAACCTCAGAGAACTCACCACATACACTCTGTTCAAAAAGCATCTAAAAACTGGTTCATAACACATCAGACATGTCAGCATTAATAAGAATATCTTCCCTCAACCCAACCTGCTGCCAGTTGTGTGTCTGCTGTGTCAATGTGTATAATATTAATTTTTTTAGAGCAAACTTGTACACTGTATTTATCAACAGGATTTGAAGAGTTATATCTGTTTTACTGCTTTTTATATTTGTATTGTTCACTGTAATCTTCATATTGTGTGTGTTTTTTTTTTTAGGTAGACAATGTTAAGATCTGTCCAGGGACAACGGATGAAAAATAGCCTTTTGGCTAATTCTGGTGCATTTGCAGCAATGCTAATTAATGTACACTGTCCCTGTCAAATAAATTAATAAATCAATTATAAAATCAATTAAAAAAATAATAAAGGGAAAACTATAAAAATGGAATTGCATTTAATAATGCAATGCAAGAGTAAGTAAAATGTAGCTCAGTGTTTTAAATTCAGTTTCCAAGTCAATCCTTTAAACCCCTCTCCTGAATTTGCAGAAGTTTCAGTCATTCTCTACTGACTTAATTCGTTCCCATTTCCTTTACCCAAACACCCATAGCCTCCACAGCCCGGCTGTGCAGGGGTGACCTACACCCATATGTGTCACACATGCCTCTTTGGGAAGATGAGACGTGCTTTTTGCACTTCCCGAGTCGAGTGTTTGAGCTGCCATCCTGCAACCCATCTTTATCCCTTGGGGTGAAATGTGAGGGGAGGCGGTGTGCAGTCTGCTCCAGCCCTTAATACAGGCCCAGAAGAAAACTCTTGATTAAAAGTCTGCACCGGTTATGCCAGGCATCCCACATAGGCTGACTAGGCTTAAAAATAGATGGGGAGGGGGAGGGGGTTCGGGGGCTAACACTCACACAGGGACCTATTAAGAGCTCATCTAAAGAAGAGTCTCTCCTTGAGCTTCTTCACCATCATCATCATTATTGGAGTGATTTCATTCCACCAGGGCTCCTTAATGGTCACTGAGATAATCATTATTTCAGCTTAATAAAGACATTTATCATGCAAACTCTCACACACAAATATGTAGTAATGGATTTGATGGATGATTAGGAACAGCACCAGAGAGATTCGTGTGAACCTATGGTTCTTTCCATGTTTCTTACAGACCATGTACAGTCAAGTACAGTCTTGAAATCTTGCAGTTTTTGATGTGAATTCATTGAGAGTACTTTTATATTTCAGCACATATTAAATTGATATTAATTTTAAAGTGAATTGTGTAATTTCTGCATCACCGGTGGCACCAAGTGGAATTGCAAAAATGGTTTTAGACAAATGACTACTTATTAAAAAAATATCTTCAATAACCTAATTTAAATATCACTATGACTTTTGGATGACCTCACTGCCGCGTGCAAATAAAGGCAAGTGCAAAACATTATCAACCAGATGACTTGAATGTTTTCTGTAGGCCAATAAAGTGGTGCCATTTTATCTCAGAGAACGTTTTCAGTTGTGGCCATTAGTGAATGGTGCTTTCCAAACACTGCTTTGTGAAGCTTCAAAACCTTTGCAAATATGGCACATTTAAAAAAGCTACCTACATTCCCTAATTGAACTAAGGCCTAATCCTGTCTGTGAAAACAGGCCTTAATGTTTAATGGTGGATCGCAGGTTAAACTTTCAAGAAAACATTTGCACTTGGTATGTAAAAGGTGTCTTTATCCAAAATTTGGCTGAGTTTTTTTTGTTGCATTTACACCGGTTTGACCAGCGCTTCAAAACAGTCAATATTGTGAAGCAATTTGTTTAATGGTAAATGGTAAATGGACTGCATTTATATAGCGCTTTCACAGACGCAATGGCCACCAAAGCGCTTTACATTTGCCTCACATTCACCCATTCACTCACTCATTCATACACCGACGGGCGACGGCAGCCATGCAAGGCGCCATCCAGCTCGTCGGGAGCAGCTGGGGTTAGGTGTCTTGCTCATGGACACCTCGACACTTGGTCAGGTGGAACCGGGGATTGAACCACCAACCTTTTTAGGTTTGTAGACAACCTACATGAACCACTGAGCCACTGCCGCCCCAATTAATTGTTTCGGAGTTGCAAAAGCTCAGTTTCTCCTATCACTAGTGGCAATGAGCTAAAAATGAACGTAGAACTACTCTAAAAGAGCAATCTTTTGAAAGTGCCACAGTGTTTACACTCTCTGGGAAATAAACCTGTGAGTGGCTTCCCTATAGTTGGCTCTGCACTTCTCCTGCCTCCTACGGGGAAAGAGAAAGTATTTTAATATCAAAAATTGACACACTTCACATTTAAACCATTTTCTCTTCATCCTGAAACCTTCAAAAGTGCACAACACCATCTTATGCAAACAGTCGACATTAACCTCCTGTTTTCTCTCCTAAAGGTCTTATGGAGAACTAACCAACTGCACGTTCATGGTGGCTCTGAAGATGAACTGTTTCTGGCCCAACCGAATGGTGGATGAATTCTTCATCCGGGTGCACAGACACTACTTCCATGACTGTTCATTGTCTGGACGGCTGCTTCACGATCCACCAAATCGGATCTTGGGGCCTTTTATCGTGGTGCCCATTCTGGTGACGCTACTCATGACTGCTCTAGTGGTGTGGAGGAGTAAACGCAGCGAGGGAATTGTTTAAGTCTACAACAGTTAACCAATAATCTCCACACTGAACAACAGAGAAGGTGATATTTCACAGACTGTGAACATTAAGAAAGACTTGTTTCTCATCAAGTTGTATATCGAAACGCTTATAGTGAACACGGTCACTGTGTTATCTACAAACAGATAACATACAAGTCGTTTATACGGACAAAAACCTTCAGCACAATTTCTTTTAAGTAGTTTTTAACTAAATGTTTTGTCATGCCAGCATTTTGTCAGTGAAACAGATCTCCAATCTGGATGCAAGTCATTATGATGATGGATAAGTATAACCTTGGATGGATAAACACCAAAGGAAGGACACTGTTATTCCCATGTGTTTGACAAACCTATGTGAGAACTGGACTCAATCACTTTGTGACACCTCAATGTATGTCACACTCATAGATGTGCTTTGTGCTAAATTATGACATTTGTAGCATGACATTCATGATTAATATTTTGTTGTAATATTTAAAAATTAAAAAGGGCTACAACCATGGTCATGCCAATAACCTTTACTATATTATGGTTCCTCCAATTTTAAAAATAAATTGAAATTGTATGAATATTACCATCAGATATTTCGGTAAGACACCTAAAAATACTTTGGCCAAAGCATCACATGCATCTCTCAAAGTTAAGTCAATCCCACAATGCATTGCAACATCAAAATCATGCAAGATTTTGGGAAGCTGGGAGAAATTGATTTCATTCAATACTGAAAAATTTTGGTCTAATGGACGCAATGTGTGGTTTATATATACAGTATGTGGTGTATGTAATATATGTGCATATATATACACACATATATATATATATACGTATACACACACACACACACACACACACATATATATATACACACATATATAAGTTAACATTCATGCATATTTATTATATTCATGCAGTCAATTCTTTTTTTAAGAAAAAAAATATATTACATTGATAGTAAAATCTATGTGCATTTATACACCACAAATGTAATCTCAATTAGGTTTGTACAAATTTATGGCACTTATTGAGCTTTAAAGATTATTTAATTCCACCATACAAAGACTGCAAAAATGACTTTACTATTGTTCTACACCACCTGGGTTTTTATTTTTAATGCCTAATGTCATAAGGGACAATGTGCTACCTCCATTACATTTAATGTTTTAATTTACTCTAAAGTGTTAGTTCAATTAGGGTTTATTGCAATCTTTGTGAACCCCCAGTAGGGTAACTGCCTAAGGGTCTATGTGTGTCTACTGTAGACAGTCCTGCAGCTCATCATGTTCTGGATCAGAGCAATCTTTTGTACTGACAGTGGCTATCAGATACTATTAGAAGCAGTGAACTGAGAGAATTACTGCATTATTTGGTGTCTCAACACACAGGCTTCAATATTTTCTTTCTTTAGGACAACCCGGCTAAGAAGCTTGCAGCATTTGTCAATGAATAATTCATGTATTAGCACTAAAATGATGTTTTTATTCACATGGTTCTGCTAAATGTTTTTTTTTTTAGTTATGTCTGTGTGTCTCTGGAGCTCTGTGTCCACAGTAAGTGGATTAAAAGCCTGTGGTTTTCACCTGCCTGTGGCGAATTGGACAGTGGCACAGGGACACCAGACGTCTCTAATGTCAGCTGAATTTCAAAGCCTCTGATTTCTCCTGCAGTTATAATAAAGTCATTTGCCCTCGACTTTTTAAATTTTTATTCCGGACATTTCCCCTCATTTGGAGGGTTGCTTTTGGGCACATCATATGCAAACAAACAGACACAAGAGAAGGCATGCGGTCATGAGTCACCAGAAGTTAGCCGTTAAATAACAGCAGGTCAGTTACAGCACAATCACTCAGCTTCTATTTCCTGAATTACTTCCATGCTGATGCCACATGATGTCTCTGCATTTTGTTGCTAGAAGGATATTCATGGAGCTTAATTTTTTAACCTCAGAGATGAATAATGATTCCTTGTAAATAACTGCCAGTATCTCCAATGCACTGATGTGCCACTATTTTAACACAAATTTTAAAGCACTGCTAGTAAACATAAATCAGTAACCTACCTAAATGGACACAACAACACACTGTTAGTCATTGTCAATCAATTTGTGATAAAGATCTCAACACTACAAGGTAATCTAAATCATGAAAGTAGATTTTAGTTTTTAAAATCATTAAACTCAGCTCTCATTTCAGCTTAGACACAACTTAGACATTCAATAATCCTAATTTCTTTCCTCTCCACCATACTGTCTAAAAAACACAGCTTTCACGGATCTTTACAGAGCTTGAAGGAACGCAAAGGAAGAAATATATATATATATATATATATATATAAAAATTGTGTTAAGTGATCTGAGATTCTTATTTAAGTGACATCAGATAATATTAAATTATTCAATCAGAAATTTCATATATAAATCCTAAAATAACCGATAGCATATGATCCTATACTTAAGCAATCCTCATGCTTTTCATGTTCTGGGGCCATGAATGCAAATTGTTTAGGCCAGGGCACCACAGGCAAAGTTTTTGTGAATAACTGTAAATCTTTAAATCCGTCAGACAGCAGATGCCTGAATATTCACATACGTACATTCAGCTGGTGAGAATCACCCAGTCAGGTATTGGCAAGACTGTACAAAAGGCTGTTGTGACATTATGAATGGCATTTACACAACTAACACTTTTTCCAGAGTAAACAATGAACTGATTTGTTGGTGTTATATCAGGGAAGTTCATCTTTCTTGAGCAACATTCATCTCTTTTATATAATCTGTATGTGGAATCAATAAAAGATTTCAAATGTGCTGTCCCTGGCCTCATATACTTTATTGATTGCTTATAAAGTTCAGAGTATTGAATAAATCTAATCCTAACTCACATTACATAAGATGCCATGTCCAATATTTGCCAATATCAGAGATGAATTGACAGAGATGAATGGATGACTACTCGATGCATCAGCCATTTATCACTTTAATAACAGGCAATTAAAAGTGTTGTTTAATCCCCTTGATGGAGGGGGAGGAGAATAATGATCTTCTCAATAGGTCCATTTGAAAGGACCGTTAGATGATAGGGGAGACGCAACGACACAAGGAATATTTACAGTCTCCTCACTAATGAGACAAACCCGTCACCCATCTCTTGAGCCACACCACAACTAATAGTCATCACAAGGGACTTATTTTTAGTTACACTCAAAGAGTTACAGTAAGTAATGCTCCAATTAGAGGGCACAGGAAATCTGTAAAGGACAATACAACACTTTTCACTACCTTTTAGACACTTGCACTAACCACTTTAAAGGAACACGCTGACTTTTTTGGACTTCAGCGTATTCACCATATCCCCCAGAGTTAGATAAGTCCATACACACCCTTTTCATCTCCGTGCGTGCTGTAAGTTAACTCTGTCTGACGCACCCACCGCTAGCCTAGCTTAGCACAAAGACTGGAAGTAATGGCTCCAGCTAGCATACTGCTCCCAATAAGTGACAAAATAACGCCAACATTTTCCTATTTATATGTTGTGATTTGTATAGTCACAGTTTATCCAAATAACAAGGTCATATGAGACACAGGGATCTTTTAATAAGCTAAAGTCCCCAAAAGTCGGCGTGGTCCTTTAACATGTTAATTCACTGTTATAAAACGGATAGTTCCGGTCCTTGATTCTGATTGGTTGAGCCGCGTTTGACCCTTCGCTAAGCCACGCCCGAAAACCGCCACTGGCCAATAGCGGCTTAGCAACCGTAACTAGGCGCGGGAGGTCTGTCAAGCTTTCGAGCGAGGGAAACATGCCGAAGCGTTTTGCGTATGGATTGTGCAAATCTGATACCCGGTATTCTAAATGTTTGGACGGTGGGGTGGCATTTTTTCTCTTCCCGAAACCTAAAAGCCAAAGGGGAGAAATCCCGGGCGTGGATCAAGCAGTGTGGAGACCCATTCACAACTAAATGTCGACAGGATTAACAAAAAAAAAAAAAAAACGCCTATTGCTTGGAAATAATGGCGGTTCTTTGTTCATAATGCATATATTTGAACATAAAATAAGACGATTAAAGGCAAGACGGAGGCTCACTGACATACTTTAAAATATGTTTCAGCATTTTGTTAATCGACGGCGGACGGCCTACTAACGTTACCCCTGTAACTCTACCCCAATCCGATCGCGGCTCTCCCGGTGTTAGATTGATGGATAAGCTGTTTGATTTGTAATTATTGGATTATTTTCACATTTCACTTACTCTTCTGTGCATGAACATAGCTGTTCAATTAGTGTGTTTCCCATTTGAATGGTCTGCTAAGGGCGGCTGCTGCTTGCGCTGGGACCTAACGTTATAGGCTTTAGCTTCAATTTTGATGAAATTATTCTCTAATCGGTTGCATATTATGTCGTGGATATATCCCTCGAATGCATACTGCTGTCCCTTTTGTCTTGCTCTCTCAGATAATTCACTTGTTCGCCAAAAATGACTAAATATCTCCTTGGGAATGTCTGACACCGGTACATTCACACTGTAATAGACGTGGCAGCCGCGAAAGCTTGACAGGCATGGCAACACTTGTAACTAAAGGAGGGCGTGGCTTAGCGAAGGGTCAATTAATCAACAAACATACTGTGACCGCATTATATTACTGCAACTGCCGTTTGTGATTCTTTGTTGCTGCATTTGTTGCTTGGCAACCTGTTTGGAACTACATTGCAGAGGAATAAAAATGTGTTATAACGTTATATTTTTTGTTGCTGGTGTTTATTTTATGAATAAAATAAATATTAAAAATATTTTTATGGAGTAAACCGTTTTATAAAAGCAATAAGCGCCTTGAAGTTCGCGGGGCTTATTGCTTTGTTTTATTGTTTCAGATAAATCTGATGTATTATTTATTTAAAGCTTAAGTGCGTAATTTATACACAGCTAGCAGTACCAAACTGATTTTCAAACAATTTTACAGAACACTCCCCTCATCTGCTGCATTGTTCAGCCAATCAAATAACCCTTACGTTATAATAACCCATAGGCTGTGCCATTGTTTTGATGACTCTACTAGATAACCCTTATAAGGGTTATTGTGTGCCCTTCCCTTCGGCAATAACTCAGAACAGGTTACATTTGCGGCTCTGAAATTGGAATGTGTATCCTAAACCCATGGGTGAGAAAGGAGGTACAAATCTGGTGATAGCAGGCGCCGTGATTCCAGCTTTAATAAAAAGGTTACTTCTTTGAAATTTGTTGAATCTCTATGGAAGTAAAATAATGACACATGTTTTTGAAACAAAAAAGATTGTTGAATTTCACTACTTGAAAAAAAAAATGCATTGCATTAACCCTGCTTGCATTTTAATGCATTGTATTTTTAGGGCTTGCATTTTTATGGGCTGAAATTCAACATGGTTTGAATATTTCAATTCAAAACATTTCACACGTTTTCATTGTTAAAAATTCAATAATCCATATTCACCTTTCAGATTTCACTTCCAAAATGTTCATTCTGTTTAAAAA